AGGCGCTGGAATGGGCTGCCCAGGGAGGTGGTCGAGTCCCCATCCCTGGAGGTTATTTAAAAGAAGGATAGATGAGGTGCTTAAGGTCATGGTTTAGTGGTGGGATGGCAGGGTTAGGTTAAAGGTTGGACTCGATGATTTTAAAGGCCTTTTCCAACAAAGTGATTCTGTGATTCTGTGACTCCTCTGAAATGTTTTGTAGGTATGCACAGCAGTTCACTGATACCAGTTTGCGTGCTGCATAGTAGCTGCAGAACACTCCTATGCGGTACAGATCTCTTTCCGCCATTAGAAGGGAAAACTTTTAACGCTTGGAAATTGAGTCTTGCATTCCTGTTTTTAGTAGCTTAGAGCTTTGTTGTAAAATGCTGTTTGGATAGTGCTTTCTTAGCTGTCAGGTGTAATTACATATGTAAAATTTGATACGCTGAAAGTGTTCTTTGGCCTTCAAAATTGGCTAGAATAAAACCCACCTAGCTGTTCTAGAATGGAAAAGTGTTTGCATCCTTCAGATTTGTTTTGAAGTCAATTATGTTTAGGCTTTTATGAATCCTGTTGTAGAAATTAATTTTGTTTGCAGACTGCATGAAACTAACATTACGGTCACGGTTTGATACTGACGGTACGACCGTCGTCACGCTCTGCACGTCGGCAAGTCGGGAGCTCCAGCCCTGGTCCATTGGCTAACCAAAGGCACGTAGTAAACAGGTTTGGCTCAGCTGGCTTGAGCAGAACTGCACCTTGATTATACCCTGCGGAGTAACGGTTATACCTGGAGCTGGGGTTCTGTAGGCTGCATTGTATATGAAGCTGCTCTTGTAAGAGATAGAAAGGAGTGTATTGCTGCACGTGAGTGAGGGCACTCGGAAAGCAGATCCTACTGGAAGCAGATACAATGCTTGTGTTTCATTAACTGCTACAAATACAAACTTCAGGTTTCAGACCTTCACAAATACTGCTACGTGCCTTTCTGAAAATGGAATGTCCCCAAAGATCAATTGGGGTTATGTTGTTAATAGAGCCTAGGGAAATAAAAGTGTAAAGGCCCAAAAGGGTGGAGAAAATCTCTGGTGTCTGTAAGAGACGGTACAAATTTTCCTGCTCGTGTTTATTTAAAAACAAACAAAGAATAAAAGCCACAACAAAAGAAACTCGTCTGCATTATCACTTAAGCTTTAAAAGAATTAAAAAAGATCCTTTTTACCCATCAATTTTATACATTTATTGTACTGTGCTATAATTTTGGAACGCTTTTAGTGACTGTACTTTAATTTTTAACTTATTTTAACATGAAAAGTCCAGTTAAGAACTCCCATATATCAGTGGTAAGATCAGTTCCATGTTTCTCAAAAATACCCGTGCATTTAAAAATAAAAAGAATTTATTTTAAAAGGTAGGTTTTATGTGGACTAAGAAACTGTATTAAACTATTCCGTAGTGTAGGTTTTCAATCCACTGTTACCAATATTTTAAATGTATGAAAAAATATTCTTTAACTAGGCAAAGTAATTTGACAGTATTGCCAAGACCATTGTTTAATATATTGTCCTGTAATTTACACAGCATGTCAGTAGCTGGGAATGTTTGCCTTTGCATTTTTCTGAAATGCTATTTTGGGCTTGAGCAGTAACTTCTGCAATTCTCCATCTTCAATACTCCATAATGAATAGCTTGGTAAGGGTAAAATTAATTTATCTGAGCCTTTGGTTCCCAAAGTACACTGTTGTTTGGGGTTGTTTAGGTTTTTCTTGATTAGGAGTTTCTGCATAAATGAGCAAAATGCTCACTTACTATTTTTAAAATTGTGCTGCAAATAACTTTGTTTTTTCAAAGGCTTCTTGTGCAATATTTGCATATCAGTGCTGCATTATAGTGCTGTTGGATACTAACATGAAAGTCTATCCTGTTTCTTTACCAAACTGAAAAAAAAATGTAGCAGCAAACCCATTTTTATTTGAAAAGCACGTTTCCACTTTTAATCAGTTTTTATGATAGCATACCTGTGTGTCAATGTTCATCTCTTCATGCTGTTTTAAAATCTACAAGGTATTTCTTAATACTATTTTTAAATTACCTGTAATGTTGCAGGTATCCTAGGTATTAACCATTACTATTTACATTTCTATTACAGTGTTTAGTTCATTGCACTTAGTCTGGCATTTGGATTAGTGGTTTTCCCTGCTCAAAAATCTTGATGTCTGGTTCTATTTAAGATACTAAGAGTAAAAGCATCAGGAATCAAAATGTATTCTGCCTCAACCCGGGTGCTGAGCGGGAGTGCTGTTTCCATGGCAACGCACAGGCTGGGGGGGGGGGGGGGGGGTGATTCTGAGAGTTTACGTATCCAAACACGATTATTCTTAGCAAGGTTCTCTTAAAAATCGCTGTTTGTAGGAGAGAAGGAAATTATGTTAGTGAAAATTGTCAGTATGGATCCAGATGTTTCTTGTGGTCGTTTGTTTCTTCTTTAATCATGAAGATTTGTTAGTGCACCACGCAGCTTTTCCCTAATGCTAGAAAAATGTGCTAACCATAGCGGCAGTGATCTCGGACATGTTAAATGTGGGGTGTTCTAACCTTTGAGGGCGCCGCAGATGCGGTTGGACAAAACCTTGCTTTACCCTTTTAATGAAAGCTGCCTTCCTTTGGGAGGCTGTATTATTAAATATAGTTGACATTTCACTGGGAGCAAGTTCCAAATAAGCGAAAGGTAAATAGTCAACATTCCAGAGATAACAAAGCTTTGCAATTAATTCTATTTTTTTTTAGAAATGGCAGGTTTTAGAGCAGGTAATATGCTAAATTGGTCTTCCATTACTGTAGTGCAGCTGTGGCTCTGCCTCGCCCATTTTATTTATTATAGAAACCATAGGCTGATGCATTTTCCATGCTCAAGCTTATAGATAAATCCTTCTTCCATAAGTGAATAGAGAAACCATTACGTTCTACTCTTGGAATATTTTGGGGTGTGTTTTTTGAAGGCTGAATATTTTGTATTGAGACTATTTTATTTAGTCACTAGAGATTAATTTCTTGATTTAAAAACACACAAACCTGAAAATATAGGAAAGAGGAGTGCAAACCCTGGAGTATTGTCTGCCTGTCTAATTTTTTTTAATGAAGGATTGGAATAGTGGCAAATACCGTGTGTGGGAATGAATTTATTTGCATGGAGAATTTTCACCTTTTCCTCTGGCGGTGGCTCCCAGAAGATGATGTCACCTTGCAGCTCATTGGTTGTGCGGCACCTAGTGCGGGGAAGGGAGAGAAAGATGCCGGCACAAATCTCAGTGGTGGATCTAGGGTGTTTGCGAGCAGTTTTTGATAGAATCTTTGATTAGTATTGAGAATTTACTGCGTGTGGCCATGTGAGGTGCTGGGTCCGTCCTAGGGTGAGGGGATTGAAGAGCTATCAGAGGAATGAGGCGGCTGATCTGCAAGAGGATCTGTGATTGTAAGTTGAAAAATCTGGGTGGAAGGAAAGAGACAGGGAGTGCTGGTTAGACACATTGTGGGAGGATGTGTAGCAGAAAATGCATGCATGAGTAAAAGAAGAAAAGGGAGAAGCATTTGTCTTTGGTAGACTGGAATGATAAAAAAATATATTAAGGGCTTTCCTTTGGGGAAAATATTCAGAAATGGGCAAAAATATTCAATCTCTGCAAAGATATTTTCCCTTTGTGGGAATGAATGTGTAGGATTCGTTTTTCTCTTCGGTTTTACAGGGGGTAATTATGAAGGCAAAATAACATTTTGTAAGTACTTAACATGTAGAAAATGCTGTTTTTTTCTCATTGTCATTTTATTCCTAGGTCAGAGACAGAGGACACAGTGATAAATATTTGGGTTTATTTATACATTTTCTGAATTTTTGTGAAAAGTGAAGCAGAATAGTTGATTAGGAAATAAATGTACATCCATTCTAATAGTTGTATTTTTATTTAATGTATATTTTTCTAGACAAAAGCTTTGATGATGAAGAGTCAGTGGATGGAAATAGGCCATCATCAGCTGCTTCAGCCTTCAAGGTTCCGGCACCTAAAAAGCCAGGAAATCCTTCAAACAGTGCAAGAAAGCCAGGATCAGCTGGTGGGCCTAAGGTTGGAGGTAATGTAAAGCTATTCAGATTCTTATCGGTGTTCCCAGAAACCTTGCCAGAGCAGGCACAAAACAGAGAACTTTGGAAGGTGATGTTTAATTTATGACTGCAGTATTTTTGCAGAGCTGAAATCAGCAAGGGACCTTGTTTTACGTAATTATTCATATATAAAGGTGTGTGCATGTCTGTCTGGTTTTGTGAATGTACATTTAGCTTATAAAGGCCTCTCATATTATAAATAAAACTAACATCTGGAGATAGCAATTGTGTTGGTAAAATGTATATATGGGTGCCTCTGATGGAATCCACACATCACTTACTGTATATATAAATATACTGTGAAATTCTGTAGTAGGTCTGTGTAGATGAATTTTTTACTGTAGCTCTGCAACGTTTGACATGGCTAGAAAGGACTAGCCATCAACCATATACCTCAGCAGAGCTGTATGTTACATCTGAATGGCTTTTATTATTATTCCTTAAACTGTCAGAGCATTGTGAAATTGGTTATGAAAGAAAAAACGAGGGCCAAAACCCTTGCCAGGATTTTTTTGCATGGTAGACTTCAAAGCAGTATAATGATGATGCTTACTAATTATAATCTTTGAACACGGAAATCCGCATTTTTTTAGGGCGGGGGTAATCTAACAAAAGCAACTGTTTACTGCTAAAGAAGTGGTAGCTTTTTTGATGGTTCATGTACATATTCAGAAAAACATATAACTAAGTGGAAATATACCATGCTTCAGGTGTGGCTTTTTTATGAATAATTGATGCTTTCAGTAAGGGATTTTTGTAAGAGTAAGTAATTTTTTTCATGTTCCTATTCATGTTACATTCCCTTATGTGAACTGCAAAGCAAAGATAAAATTTGAAAGAAGATATACATGCCAAAGAAAGCTGCCTTAAGTATTTTCATGTTAATAAGATATAGCTAATGTTTTGACAATTTATTGTTTTTCTAATGTGATCTTCAGAATTCCTCTTAAATTGAAAAGATTCCCATAGGGCGGGATCAACACTGCCATAGCATAACTCCAAAATTGATAGCAATATGAATCAGAATGTACTACCTAAAAGACTTCCTAAAGGAAGTTATCTCTTGAAATTGACTCTTAGTATTTATTGTTATTATTATTACACAAATAAGCAGTAAAACTATCATCTCCTTCAACCTGAAGCATGGTGGGTTTTGCATGCAAGACTAGCATATATAGTATCAGAACTGAATGCTCAGGATTCCTGTTTCTTTTGATGTGTGATAAAATAATAATATTTTATTAAATATGGATGTTTTTAATATAAAATTGTTTTTACATGTAGACTTTCACTTTACATGCTCTGCAGTAAGAACATGGAGATAGGAGAGCAGTGGAAGGGAAATAACAAAATAACCACTTGACTGATTTTTTTTTTTTTTTTTTTTTCCCCCCCCCAGTTTATCTAAAAATTCAGGTGTAAAGGAGATTTTAAAAAACCAAACCAAAATATTACATTGTTTTTCCTCCTTTTTCTATATTGCCAAACTTCAAAAAATGAAAATTAAAAAAAAACATGTAACAGCACAAAGTTTATGTATGCCACAGTGAGAGAACTTTGGTCATTCCTTGCTTTATACCATCTCCTTTCAGCTCTGAAAAATACTGAGGAGTGCTCACATGTGCATCTGCTTCTCCTCTTTTTATTCTGTTAGTATGTCTGTAGTCAGAATTTTGAAAATTTAGGATTAAATGTTTGGCTAGCCTTTGTAATGTTGATTAAATTGTTGTTTGAATGTTTCTTTGTATGTGCATCTATGGCGTGGTTGTGCAGACTGCCCAGGTGCTTGACCGTGGAGACAGAAGGTCTATATAGTCCGCTGTCCCATCTGACAGTAGTCAGAAACGGCTGCTAGAGAAATGCATGTGAACAGGGCAAGTTTCTAGAAGCACACAGTCATTGCAGGACGAAATGCTGGGTTTAGAGAACTCTATTCTACAAGAGAACCACGGTCTTTGAAGCGTCCAGTTAGGGCATCCTGTTCTGCTTATCTTGAGACTTCATGGATCTTTATGGCTAATAAACAAACCTTGCTGCTTTTTCACATCCGCTTCCTGTAGGGTCTGCTTTGTAGGTGCCTAAAGGACACCTGAGATTTTTCTCCAGCCTCAAAATTGCCAGCTTTATGAGCAAATCCTATGGTTCTGCTCTCGCTGATTTGTTAAGGCTCTGCCATATCAGTCCCAAACCCTTCTTCTGCTCACCACTGCATTCCAAGCCTGTAATCAGTGGGAATGTAATTTCTCACCTTTCCCTCATAAGCACTGGCTACAGGTATTTCAGGCTCGTAACTGCTCACCTCACAGTTCTGCCACCTGTTGGTCCTGCTTGCCTAAGTTTTTTCTGACTCTTTCATGCATATGTGTATACATACTATAAAGTTGCAGTTCAGCCTTGGAGGAAGAAATGGCAGCAGTTCCATTAACTGTGTTGCTTTTTCTTTCCATTTCACAAAAATCTCCAAAGTCGTGTCAGTGACCCACAGCTAACGCGGTCCTTCTCTTCAGGCTTCTGTGACTGGGCAGAACTGTTAGTGCAGGTAGAAATAGTGTTGAGCGTAGGCTGAGATTACTGCAAGTTGCATTCATTTAAACTGCCTTTTACAGTCCAGAGATCCTTTTCCTAGGATATTGCTTTAGAAAGATGTGTTTTCCGATCAGCTGTAGGTGACAACAAAGAAAGTACAGCTTTTTCCTGGTTCCAAAAGGGAGTGGAGGCTCCTGTCTTGAGGCAAAGAAAATCAAACCTCTTAGCCAAGCTGCTTGCTTTCCTTTATGCTGGTATCTGCTTAATTATACCTCGGATGCTATGTGTGCTTGACTTTTCATTATATACTCCATGGAGATGTTTCTTATTGAAGAAATGGATAATCCCACCACTGACCAGATACTCTGTTCGAGTGAAAGGACCTGTCCAATATGCAGGAAGAGATTTTTTCGCTGTATTGAGCACTTTCTGTTTAATGTAGGAAATGCACTTTGGTGGCATTGGAAATGCAAAATCATTGTCCAGGAAGGCAGGTGAAACAGCTATGTACGTTAGCAACAGCAGTGTCCTACTTGGGCTGGAATTCTCTCTCCTTGTGTAGAGAATGACTGTGCAAGATCTTTTCCTGTCAGCAGTAGGGATGGGTGAGCTTGTAGAACTGGTGTATTTGCTGACAGGTGTGATTAAGTCTGTAGAAGACAGCTTGCCAGAAGAGTATCAGACCAGGCAGCCTCAGCGAGGTACTGCCCTAAGAGTAAGAAATCCAGCAGTCTGTTTCTCGTCTGACTTTACTGCTGGGTGATGTTCAGACACTGACCTTCTTACTTGTGATGAATGAGAAGTGATGGGTCTTCAACTGAATGGGGCAGTGCTTTGTTTGGCTTATTTCTTACTCCGTGGTCAATATGCTTTCCCGAGTTAGTCCTTTGCCAGGAAATGCACAGCTGATCCACTTCTGACACACTAGCCTTCAGCACTTCATTCAAGTGGCACAGCCTGTGGAAATATCCTTCTGCTCTGAGGCCTCCTTACTGAGAATGTGCACAGGGTGTGTTCTACCCTTCCAGAAGTGGATACTCATGAGCTCTTCCTTGGCAGGATGGCAGGCAGCTTTTTGATTGTAAGGGACACTATAATTTACAGTTGAAAAAGACTTAAGTTGAGTATGTTAGCCAAATGAGCTATATTCTTGTCCCTGTGCTGTTCCAAGATCTCTTAAAGGGCTTTGGCAGGCTCTCTTGCAAATGTGAGTTCCCTGTTGCAAGTCTTCTAGGGAATTGTTTGCTTCTGTACTATTCCATAGCTTTATGTAGTCTAGATGTTAGTAGGAAACCTCAGTCTGTACCTCAACAAGAAGACTGGCTTCCTTTCCTTTCCCAAAATATCAATTTAAGTCAGTACTCTTTAAAATGGATTCAGCGTAGGATAGTGATACTTCAATAGAGCCATGTGGCATTTGGAAGAAAAGCTTGCTGGTGAAACCCAGTTATAACAAGAGTTGGTATTAACTTTCTGTTGCATGGTTTTTGAGAAGCGCTCTGTAGGACTGGAAGGTCATTCCTAATGTTGTAATTTGAACCAGGGTGGACTTTCTACTTTTTAGCAGTTGTCTTCAGCGGGAAGATACTGCATCGTGCATTTTTACCTATGGTTCGTCAGCTTTTTTTAATCTGTAGTGTCTTGGCCTACTAGTCTTATTACACTTTGCTTACTGTTTAACGCTAATAAGGATGTTCCGCTTTTTGAAACAACCTATGTTGCTTTAGGATGAATCATGCAGTGACAAAACAGCAAAGGGGATGTTATTAATTCAAATGTCAGAATTATTGTAACTGCTGTTTAAAAAGATATTTTGGAGTAAGAATGTTGTTGATGCCAAGCGTGAAGAATATGAAGTGAAACCCCAGGGACATTGTTGGGTTTTTTTCTTTTAAAAAAATGTGTGTGCATGCAAAAAGCGTTTTTTCCAACATGAAAATTGTGATGTTGCCTTCTTTTATTAAACTGTTCAAAGAATCTGGTCCCCAATGAAGACTGCAATTGTGTTAGTTTGAGGTTTGATGCTGGTGTTATTTGAAAGAACCCTCAGTTTTAGGATGGTCTTACTTCTTAAAAAAAAAAAAAAAAAGGCTTCCTAAGGTTTGATGATTGCTCAAAAAACATTCAAAATACCTCCTTTTAGGTAGAAATCAAGTAACTGGAAAACTTGGGTGAACCAGGTGAAGAGTTTTGGCAAAAGAAGGCCGTGAGAACTATGGTGATACCATACAATTTTATTTTTTTTTAACTACAAGAACACATTCTTAACTGTAGGAAGCTATTCCCAGCTTTAGGAAGTTCATTTAGTTTGTGTATCTGTCTACGGTGTTTTCTGTCAGCATCATAATGTTTTTTTTTTTTTCCTTCTCAATAATAGCAATACAGTTCTTTGAGAAGTATTAAAATGGCACTGATTTGAAGTTTGTGTATCTGTCTACGGTGT